AGAGAGAGAGAGAGAGAGAGAGAGAGAGAGAGAGAGACTCAAATGATTTTGTTATCAAAGGCTAGTCGCAACTAAATGACGAGTGTTGGAAATCAATCTAATATTTAATGATTAAATTAAAAGTACATAAAGATTTATATAAAAACATAACCGTACGTTTCAACTCCTGTCGGATCATTCTCAGTGTACAATTTAATAAAACTAAACAAACTTGTGATTTAATCGTCGATATCGATCTAACAATTCTATCACATATTTCTATTCGAAATTTTTGCGATGTTAAGGCGATTTTATTATTCCTCCTCGAATATTTTATGTTCATATCCCTGATATTGTTTTTCCTTTTCCATATCCTTCGATTGTTGCAGACAGTAACGCAATTCAAATTCACCCATTACAATTTCAAGATAACTTAAGAAAATATATCAAATTTGACTTAAATTTACAATTAGTTTATTATTTACTGAACATATGTTAGTATGGACGTTGTTTATTTTGAAATTAATCACAGAAATGAATGAATTGATATATATTTTGACGTACATGGAAATTAAAAATAACAAAACGTTACTTAACACAAGTTATTGGATTACCATTGCTCTTTTAATATCTACATACATATCTAATAACAGTATATGAAACTCACACAAAGCAATTAAAATTATACAGAATCCATAGAATAAAATTGCAACTGAAAAGTTATACAAATTATATCTTATAAAAATATATTCTATATAATTATATAAAATAATATTATATAAAACGATAGTCTATCATTCTTATTTTGTCGTGAGATGTAGAATTACGGGCGTAAAACAAATTATAAATAATTCGAATAAATAATATTGTTTAATGATTGAAACTCCCCTTTGTCTTCTCTGCTTGTTGAAGTAATTAACATTCGGATATTTTGCTTTCTCATTGATTCTCGTGGCTCAATAATCTTGTGTAATTATTATAGAAACATCTGCGAGCATTAAAACGTCGTTGATTAGCCGCATTGCGTAGGCGCAGCTCGATATTTCTCCTTCTCGATTAGTACGGTATTAATACATCGATATTAATAAGCTGTTTTTTTTTCCCATTAAAGCCCAATATGATCGCATGTAGTTACGGAATTAAACACCTCAATGAATATTATTCGGCAGTATTAACTAATTTGCAATAATATTAAATAAATACAATATTAGTATGATATTAATTTCAAATGCAGAGAATTGTTTTATGTTTTTAGATTACGTTTTCTGTTATACGTAGAAAGATTTAAAAAATCCATTCTCTCTCTATAATTTAAAGTATTGTTTTTCATATAACGAGTTGCACGTTGATGATATACCAGTAAAGGTAATTGCATCTCTGCAAAACGCGGCTTGGATCGCAAACAACAGTTCCTTTATCGATTCGATCTTGGCGTTGCATTCTACATGAGCGACGTGTATCACCTTGGCCAGATGCAGCCTTAGAAACTGATTAAGTCACAGTTAGCTATTTAATATCTCTATGCTGGCGTTTGCGTTATGAGATCATCCAATGCGCGCGATACGCGTTCTGTTCTCGCATTACACTCTGCGATTAATGAAATCGTCGAGCCATGGCGTACTGTTTTGCATATGCGCGAATTCTTTAATTTCTTCTCCTGTTGTGTGCACGTGTGATAATCTAATTTGTTCCTGGTGTTTTCAACGTTATTTCTTTCGCAGAAAAAAAATGTTCCTACACGCGAGAGACAGAAAATAATACAAAATCCGACAATTTTATAAATAGGTTTTCAATTTATTTACTTATAATTGTTTAAAAGATAAAAAATAATTTTTTAAAAGCAATCATAAAGACAACTGAAAACATTGAACTAATTTATAGTTGTTATTTCAAGTTAAATTATATTAATGTGTCAAGTTAATTTTTGATATATAAAAAATTAATTTTTATCATTGATACGAATAATTTCTATTAAAAAAAAAAAAAACAATTTTGTCTGATTTGTTTTTAGTATATTCTAATTTTGCTGATTTTAAGATATTTATTATTAATGTTAGTATCTTTTAAAATATATAAAGAAGATATTGTATTTGTCGTGATTTATTAAATGATGAGAAGTCTAATTGACTATATATTTTGTAAATCAACGACTTAGACTTTAGAGAATGAATATTTATGCATCAACACGAAAGCTTTTTCTTCGAACATTCAAGGTGAACAGCAAGTCTCATTCAAGGCGAATGCAACGCGCATTTGTACAACATATCTTTCAATCGTGTTTGCTAGTTTGTCTGTGAAACTGTTAAAAGTATATACGACCCAAAGTATACGCTATCATGTAATTATTCGCGCTAAATTATCACAAAGTAAAAAAATTGAGTTGCAATGCATAAGTGGACGTTGTAATAATTGTCATATTTTAGCAATATACAGAGTGTCTGGAAAATCGGCGTTAATACTTCGGGAAGTAATTCGAAATCCAAAAAGAAGGAAGAAAGCTATATAAATATAGGTCCGGAAATAAGTCGTTTTCGAGTTATAATATTTTTAAATTTTTTAAATTTTTAATTTTTTAATTTTTCGATATTTGTAAATACGATTACTGTATTATTTTTAAATAAACATATTTGAATAGAAATTAAATAAAATGTTCAAAATGACTACCTTCAGCAGGAATGCAGGCCCTTCTTCTTTCAAAGGAATTCCGACCTCTTTGAAAAACATTTTCAAAGAAATAAGGAGGGATTGTCTCCAGGGTTTACTTTGTTTGTTTTAAGTCAATATTTTTTTTTTTTAGCGCATTTCTGTAAACTATTGATTTGTGATCCTAAATAAAAATCAAATGGATTCCTATCTTGGAGGCCAAGCAACCGGACGTCCACGTCCTATCCATCTCTAGTCATAATTTCAATTTTTTAACATAAAAGTGCTTATAATTCGGAACCGACTGATTTCCGAACCTATGTTTATATAGCTTTTTTTCCTTCTTTTTGGGTCCCAAATTACTTCTCAAAATATTGACGCTGATTTTCCGGACACCTTGTATATGCAAGCTATGCACTAAAATTATAACATAAATAAGAAACAAGCATTTCACATTTAAAATATCTTTTCTCTCAGACGTTCTTCTTCTACGTGCGATATAATATAATTATTTTCTAACGAATATCATTCCTTAGATAAAATGTTATGAGCAGGATACATTTATTTTACAATATATAAATTACATCGTTTTTTAAGAGATACCATTTGTTGAGAATAACACCGGTTATCATTGCATGCGTTATATTTTTCTTCCAGACGGAGAGCGAATACTCAGTAGAAGAACAAGCGAGATTAACGGGTACTGATGGGCCAGGTGGCGATGAAGCTTCGCCTGAGGATGAGGGAGGTTCGCTCTGCGAGTACCACGACATACCACCACCACCGGATGGCGGATATGGTTGGGTGGTGGTATTCGCATCGTTCATGTGTAACATGATAGTGGACGGTATTGCCTACACGTTCGGCGTCTTTCTGGGAGAATTCGTCAAGTACTTTGGGGAAGGAAAAGGCAAAACTGCCTGGGTTGGCTCATTGCTGTCCGGAATGTACCTCAGCGCTGGTAAGATACGAAGTACCTTTCAAATTTCGCTATCTGAAGTTTAAAGTCTAGGATACGACACCATCGTCGAAAAATATTGTAATGACATCTCCTTCGTAGGAAAAAAAATTAATTTTTCTTTAGCAAAAAAGTTGTATTATACTAAAAATTTAATAGCAAAGTACGAAACGAACAACCGTATTTTTTGGACAAAATCCTCAAATATAAGTTTTATCTTGATGAAAGAAGATTAGATTGTGGTCTTGTTGTAACGCTTTTGATAAAGTTCATACTAAATACATAGTCATTAAAAATATAGTTACTAATTAAATATAGTTCTTAAAATAACTTCTAGTATCATGACGTATTGTTTATGTCGCTGTACATATACATTATATGTTAATTTTTCCTCGTCATAGGCCCCGTTGTCAGTGCTTTAACGAATAAATATGGCTGTAGAGCAGTATGTATGGCAGGAAGTTTCTTAGGCGCCGCCGCATTTGTACTTTCGACATTTTCAAGCAGTGTAAATATGCTTATGATGACTTATGGTATTATGGGAGGTACGTAATGGTCCACTTTGATCAGCGTTCTTTGTATTTTGTCAATTCTCTTCATTCTTCACGTATCTACAATTGTTATTTTAGGAATTGGATTCGGTTTGATATATCTACCCGCAGTAGTTTGTGTAGGCTATTACTTTGAAACCAAGAGATCCCTAGCTACTGGCATCGCTGTGTGCGGATCGGGATTCGGTACGTTCGCGTTCGCGCCTCTTGCAACTATGTTGCTGGAGGCGTACAGCTGGAAGGGAGCAAACCTAATCCTAGCTGGCCTCATCTTAAATTGCGCAGTAAGTAAAAACAGTGAAATCACTCGCTGCTCCTCGCTGCTCTGATTGTGCAGGGACATAACACAAAGCTTTAGATTAATCGAGATGACATCTCGTATATCTGATAAAAAAAATAGATGATTTTTAGGTATTCGGTGCCATGATGAGACCTCTGGAATATCCGAAAACTTCCTCTGTTAAGCCATTGCTGCAAAGAATGGCCGAAGAGAAGAGATTTCAAATGGAACGTGGTAGTATCGGTGGCTCCTACTTTATGGTGCAGTTACCGGACGGATCCATGGAAAAGAGGATGAAAATGCCCATTAATATTGATCCCGGTGTTCATTCCAGCTTCAATTTAGACCAATTAGTGCCTGGTAAGGAACTCTGACCATCAAATTTAATATGTTCCGGTGGGACAGTGGAGTAAGTCGAAAATATTGGAAAAGTTGTCAGATACTTTCTTAAAATAAAGTAAAAATATTTTAATTAATTTCAAAATTTTTGAATTATTGAAAAATTCTTTTTCTAAAAGCAGAAATTTAATTGTTTCAAAATCAATACTTATTATGTCGTTTCCATAAGTACAGGCGCGTGAGCTTTCCAAGTAATCGAAATAATAATGCGATACTTCATTGAATACCCGTAATATTAAAGGAACTCCTTTAACACCAGTTCCGACGGTGCCAACCCTTCCCACCATATCTGAAGTGAAGGTGCAAGAGCACTCATCTAGTGGACATACCAGTGATAGCGGCAGTATGGATTTAAAAAATATTTCCAACAAGTCCAAGAGCAGAAAAAGTATCGATGAAACCAAAGACACGAAGGACGCGGAGAAGCCAGAGAACGAGTTTAATAAGACGATAATCCCCAGAAACGCGTCGCAGCCGGCTTTCACGACCCACGTTCAAGGTTTGCCTAAAAACGGCTCCGTGCCATTCTTTGACAGAATCCGTAAAACGAGTACCAGCGAACGCTACAAGCCTAGCCTTAGTGCAATAAAGAATTCTAGGACAACGCTTAATTCTAACGGAGATATCAGAAAGAGCTTGCATCTGAGACTTTCTACTAGCAGTATGTTGGGATCGCGAAATAATAATGCTGAGGTTGATGTAAGTCAGATATTTAACAGATTCAATTTTTTTTTTTAATAGAAAATATATGTCTTCAGTATTTTTTCTAAACAAGTCATTCGTATACATATTTTTTAAATAATCTAATAATAAACATGTGCGTTCTTTCTGTAGGATGGTGAGAGTATTACTTTTACTACCAGTAAAGCTAGTATCCAAAAAGAGAAACCAATGATTGTCCGTCCCTTATCGAGAAAGGATATTTTCTACAGTGGTAGCGTAGTCAATTTACCAGAATACCAAAGCCAGAAATCCCTTGCCAATTACCGTCAGAGTGTTGTATCTATTCCTAAATCTGTACGTGGTGATTTGAAAGACATCGATATCGAAAAAGCACAACAACGAATGTATACATTCTTCATGTATATATATATATATAAACTTAAACAATATTATTAAAGGCTAGAAAAATAACATAAATTTTAATTTTTTTTAGAACCTTTATGTCCTTGTTTGGTATTGCCTGACTCGTTTAAGGAAGCTTTAGCGACAATGATGGATATGTCTTTATTGAAAGATCCTGTTTTCCTTCTAATTGGTATTAGCAATGTGTTTGGTATGGCTGGACTGTATGTTCCTTTTGTATATCTGGTAGATGCCGCAGTCTTAGATGTACGTTATTTATCAATCTTTAGTATATCACTGAATTATGTAATATCATGATTCAATGAATATTATTCCTTTTTTAAGGGAATTGAAAGCAATTCTGCATCATTCTTATTATCTATTATTGGAATAACGAACACCATAGGTCGTGTGGCTTGTGGATATGTCGCCGACTTTCCGCAAGTCGATTCTTTATTGCTAAACAATATTTGCTTAATTATATCTACAATCGCAGTAGCCGCTACACCATTTTGTCATAGTTATGCCGCTTACATCATCATGAGCATATTTTTTGGGATAGCAATATGTAAGTATCGCAACTGTTAAACATCCATTATTTTAGTTGAAATTGTCATGTATGAAAATTTATTTCATTTTGAATATTTTTATTATCTTATGATATGGATTTTAGCTGGATATATCTCATTAACATCGATCATCTTGGTGGATCTCTTGGGATTAGACAAGTTAACGAATGCTTTCGGCCTTTTAATTCTATTCAGAGGGGCTGCCGCTATAGTTGGCTCACCCTTAGCGGGCGTTGTTTATGATGCAACGCAGAGTTACAGTATCCCGTTCTTCATGGCAGGGTTTTTCTTCCTTATGAGCACTATTACTAGTTTCATGGCCCCTGCTATGAAACGGTGTACTACACCGCAGGTAAGCTCATATAATTTTCAATCTTTAGTTAGTATTTATAATTCGTTCTTACTCTTCAAGACCGTTTTAAAATGCTCTAATAAGGCTCTATAATTAGTGTATGACATTTTAAGAATGCGATAAATCACAGAGCTGTATTAACATAAGAACAAACTTTATGAATACCAATCACTTCTTGATGACTCGATAATGAGTAATAGTAACTAGGTAGTAATTTTTATTAAGTAACCTTTTCAATTCTTGCCAATCTTTCGATGTTACTTCAGAGGACGAGAGCCTATTTTTTAAATCTTAGAGCTTTTCTTAAATAAAATTTATTATAATTCATCATTTCATTGTATTCCTCAAAATATTGTTTTAGCATCACTATAGTAGTTTTCTTTTGCTGTAAATGTTTAATTATATCGTGACTTTTGTATTTAATATTAGTTCCATCGCTACATTTTTAATAAATAGTTTTTGCACTAGCTTATAATAATATCGAACACTTACTACGAAAATTATCAAATTATTTTACTTGTTGCAGACTCAACCTGTGATATTAGATACATTGACTCCAATCGATGAAGATATTGAAGAAGAGAATGAGGAGGATATACCGGAGATAGTAGAAACTGCGCCGTCACCCTTAGAGCCACCCGAGAAAGAGATCAAGCAAATAGAATCTGTTTTATAAGTACTTCTGATCTTTTTTAAGTGGATTATAAAAATCGCCTTCACTCCGAGCCACACTGTGATAGGGCTGCTACTTTTGAAGTCTTAAAAAAAGGTACTTCTTTGTTACACACTTAATCGATAAAGCACAAATTAGTGGCATACATACCTGATGGAATTTTGTATCGTACTTACAGTTAGACTTGTATGTACTATTGTATGTTTGTCATATTATTTTTGGTTTTTTTATTGGAGCGAATAAATGCGATATACGCGTGAAAATTCCATCAGGTACAGATAATTACTGTTAGTTGCCTATA